TGTCCACCACAAAAGGGCACGCCGGACCTTCTCCGGAATGCAATACCGCACATGGGGGTTGTCCAGGCCAGGACGAAAAACGGACAGAAACCAATTTTGTATGGGCCTCAGCCGAAGCCGGGCGTAAGGCGTAACGGCAGTCGTAGATGCCATGTGCCCTAACAGGACCTGGATCCTTTTTGCTGACACTTTCCTCGAATCCAGGGCAGYCACAACCAAAGCCTTGAGGGACGAAAAWCGGTCCTCTGGCAGAAACGCCCTCTGATGGATTGAATCCAGGAGTGCTCCAATAAACTGGATCTTGCGGACAGGTACTAGATGTGATTTTTCCCTGTTTACCACGAGACCTAAAGACTGGAGAAGAGAAATAGTTAGGTCTATATGCAGTTGTAAGCGTTCTCGCGTATCTGCCACCAAGAGCCAGTCGTCTATGTATGGATACACCGTAACACCCCTAGTTCTAAGGTGAGCAGCGATTACCGCCATACATTTGGTGAAAACCCTGGGGGCCGTAGTAAGGCCGAAAGGCAGTACATTAAAACTGTAAGCCTTAACGCCRACCATAAAGGCGAGGTATTTCCTATGATGTTCRGCCATGGAAATATGAAAATATGCGTCCTTTAAGTCTATGGTTGCGAACCAACTYTCTTTATTTAGAAGAGAAAGGATCATAGGAAGAGAGACCATCCGAAATTTCTTAGCATCAATATACATGTTCACCCCTCTTAAATCTAAAATTGGACGCAAACCACCAGTTTTTTTTAGTCACTAAAAAGTAACGAGAAAAGAAACAGTTATCAATCATTGAACTATCAACYGGGGAGATGGCCCCTTTAGCCAAAAGGGTTTCAATTTCTTCCAGCAGTGCTGGAGACTCAGGTGTGGTTCTTATACATCCCAACGGGGGCAGCGAAACAAATTCTATCGAATAACCTTCCTCAACTATCTTGAGGACCCACCTATCAGTAGTTATCGCAGCCCAGGCCCCTGCAAAAGGCCGAAGTCTATCCTTATAACAAACATAACTGACTTGTGTAGTGGAGGCACTTACGCCATCCCTTGGGCTCCAGATAACATCAACAATGGAATCGTCAAAGACGACGTCTTGGGCCACCTGCGGCCTTAGCCTTAGATTGATATGGCTGATACCTTGGCTTTGTGTAATAATTTTGTTTCCTGCCAGTTTGAAATTTTGAGGAATTATTCCMATTGCCCTGACTAGAGTTATATCCACTGTAATTCGCCCTACGGCTAAAGGGCTGGGCTTGTTGCCACCMAGGCTTCTGAAAGTTACCTGGCTGCCATGGGTACGGATATTGGTATGGATATTTGGCAGCATGCAAAACCTCCCGGGATTGCTTTATCTTTTCATCCGTTGTTGGGTCAAAAAGACCTTCCTCAGTCATGGGAAGGTCTTCCGCCAACAAGCGGCTCTCCTCTGACAATGAAGAACTACGCAGCCACGCATGTCGCCGTATGGCCGTGGCAGTGGCAAAGAGCTTGCCCGATATCTCAGCCATATGCTTGGCGAAGTCCTTCTGCAGTCTAGATAGTATCAATGCCTCGGTCTGATACGCCTTCGGAAGACGACGGTCTTCAGGTGGCAGGAGGTTAATATGGGGCAGCATATTGTTCCAGAGAAAACTCTGGTATCCACTAAAATAAGTAGCGTAATGCGCCATCCTGGCAAGCAAACCCGCAGCCACATGTATTTTCTTCCCAAGTGAGTCAACCTTCTTGCCCTCCCTATCTGGTGGCGTTATGGAATATTTCTTAGGTCTCTTAGCCCTAGCTGCCTCCGCCACCACCGTATTCGGCTGTGCAGGATGGGCAATCCAACTTGCTAAAGTCAAGTCTACTTTGTAGAGAAGGTCGACCCTCCTTGGCACTGCGGGAGCAGCCGACGGGGCCACATCGGGGACCTTAGTCAGTTTCAACAAATAAGGAAGGGTTGGAAGCAGCAAGGATGGTGAACCGTCCTGTTCTTCAGAAGGGTACATAGGGTCATCCACTAATGAAACCGGCTTTGGGGCTGGAATGTCCAACGCAGTTATCATTCTGCTAACCAACTGAGCAAACATGTTGTAGTCCTCTATGCGCTTTGCGTTGGTATTTTTATCCTTGTCTACAATGGGTGAGTCCACTACTTCAATCGAAGAATCAGAGTCATCATCATCACCTGGAGGGCGGTCCTCAGCAATCGATGGGAGAGGTGTATGACCTTGATCCCAATAAGCACCGTGATAGTCATGGTGCACTGGGAGGAGTTCTCTACCTCGCACACTCTTCCCACTGTGTTTCCTGGGTCCATAGTCTGCATTACGATAAGCAGAACAGGCAGAGGGAGGACCGCGATAAACAAAACGCCCCTGGGGAGTTATCTCATATACTCCCGGGTGAGGAAGAGGACGTCCACCTTCGCTGTGCTCCTCCACATTAGCCCTAGTAGAGGATCTTGCTCTGCGTGCGCGCGCACGCCTGCGCTTTCTCGCAGAGCAGGAGGAATCCGAACAAGTTGTGGCTGAGGATGAAGAAGAGGAGTCACTTGAGCTCGACTCCTGGCGCCTCCGCTTCTTATTATTAGAGCGCGACGGTGCGCGCCCCCGGCGCCGAGTCAGGGCAGCAGCAACGGACATCCCCGACGTCGAGGGAAGCGTTGCTAGGGACGCGCCAGCCGGCTCCTCCCCAAGACCAACAGCTGACACAGTGGGAGGAGCCGGCGCCGAGAGCGTCGGCATCGGGGGAGTCATGTTTTCATTTTGCGCACGCGCGGGGCGTGTCTCCGACTCCAAGTCCCTTTCTGTTTCGTTTTCCTCCTGAGCCCGCGCGAGGCGTGCGGAGGTCGGCTCCGGTGCTGACCCAGCGGAACAGCCACGAGGAGGGGACTCTCTTGCCCCTTTAAGGGGCGAAACTAACAGCGAACGCGCGGCCTTGGAACCAGCCGTTTTCGCCGAGGCCGCCTTACTCTGAACGGCCTTTTTGGACTTCTGCTTTTTCAAGGCCGCATGCAGGATCGCCAACTCAGGTAAGACTTTCTCTCTATGTTGTTGAGGTTCAGGGAGAAGTGCCCGTTCATAAAGGGCAGCTTTCAGACGAATCTCCCGGTTTTTCCGTGTCTTCGGGGTGAAGGACTGGCAGATTGAACATGCCTGCGACAAGTGTCCTTCACCCAGGCAAGCAATGCACAGAGAATGTGCATCATTATCAGGGAAGTTGCTCTGGCAGGAAGAGCAACGCTTAAAACCTTTAGTATTTGCCATTTCGTTGAATAGCTTAGCGCTAGACAAAGAAGACTTCCGAGCTACTGCTGTTAGCGCGGATGAAGAGATCTGGAGGCGGTTGGACCAGCCGCGTCCTATTTATAATGTACTGGGGAGCGTGCGCGGGGCCAACCGTCAGTCCTTTTAAAATTTTAACTGAAGATTCCGGAGCAAAGCTGCGCATGCGCAGAAGTACCAATAGTGCGTATTCACAGCACACTCACGTAGGGAAAATAAATTTATGCTACTTTAAACAAAGAAGCCCCTGCTGTCGCAGTACGTTAAACTGCTGAGCTGCTGAACTTGCTGACCAAAAGATTGGCAGTTCAAATCCGGGGAGAAGGGTGAGCTCTCGCTGTTAGCCTCAGTTTGTTAACCTATCAGTTCGAAAACATGCAAATGTGAGTAAATCAAGGCCTCTATAGTGTTAAGAGTGCTGGTGTGGAAAGAGGATTCAAAAGGTTAAAAATAACCTGTTTGTATTCCTGTGTATGGAACATTGCTTTTAAGAAACTCCAGTTATAAGACCATTCTCTGTAAAAGTAAAGTCTGACAATTTATTGAAACCACTGTGCTTCTTTACTGTTCAAGAACAAAATAAAAAACATATTGTTTTATTTCACCTGAAGTGTTTGTGTGTCTTCTTGAACATTCTAGCAAGAAGGTGGCCTATGAATCAATAAATGGTGGCAGCAGAAAAAAAACCTTAATAATAAATTGGTGGCAGCAAATAAATATATAATATACATTGAGTAAAGGCACTATTTCTGCGGGAAGGTAAGGGCACTCCATGCAGTCATGCTGGCTACATGACCTTGGAGGTGTCTATGGACAATGCTGGCTCTTCGGCTTAGAAATGGAGATGAGCACCAGAGTCAGGGGGAAACCTTTACCTCTACTACATTAAGCAATAATTAAAAAGACTTTGCTGAGGAAGGAAACCACAAATGGGTACATCAAACCACTCTTGAGTCTTCCTTGCCCCAGAAAACTCTATGAAATCCATGGGGTCACCCTAAGTCAAGCAGTGACTTGAAGGACTGAACAGACACAGACACACACATGCAAGAACCGTTGCTAGGAGGCACACAAGCACTTTAAATACATGAAAGAATTCCTACGGTTAAAACTGGGCTTTGCATCTAATTGTTCACTTCCACCTTGAGTTGGGCCTGCATACAGCAGACTGGGCGAACCAAGGCCCAGAACACTGGACTCACCTGAAGAGGATTTCCTATGAGAGGATTTCCCAAACTGTTGGGCATGCCAAACAGTTGGGCACGCCATATGTATTCATGTTTAGGGGAGAGGGATTTATTATTTATTTATGACATTTATATGCCACCCCTCACACCCCAAAAGAGACTCAGAGTGGCTTACAAGATATATATGCATACAATATATTATATTATTAGTGTAGTACAATATCAGTATTAAATATTACTATATTGCACTATATTTATTTCTTTATTTACTATATTTGTATACCACCCCTCTCAGCCCGAAGGTGACTTGAGGCAGTTTATATTACATGTAATATAAAATATATAATTATAATATTGTATTATTATTATTATTATTATTATTATTATTATTATATTGTATTACATTATAATATTATACAAGCCAGATTGCATGCATGAACACACATTTGCCATGTGAAAGGGGCACCTAGAGCAAGACGTGACATGCCACCCTCAGAGGAGAAACAAATCGGCACGCTCACACTCGCAAGGGTACCTTAACCAGCCCCGCTTCAGACCCATCCCGATCAAAGGTCTGGCGGGCCTTAGCAATCGCCAGGATCACACCTTGCATGGCAGGACTAAGCATCACCTGCCACAAAGAACAGGAAGGGAAAGATAAAGGAAAGCATGAAGAAAATCAGGAAAAAAGCTGCAGAAAGAGAGAAGCTGGAAGGACAAGTTGTCCTAAATCATGCAAGCGAGAGAGAAAGAAATTCCAGCTCAAGAAGTCAGGGTTTGGTACAGAACTGCCAGTTTTGTGCACTTGTAGCCATGATGGCCTGAGGAGTTCTGACTGCAAACCTCTTATGCCAAGTTGGGAAGGATTGGCTCTTAGCCGGGGCCAATATATGCAAATCCACCTACTCTATGATCAACCGGAATGTGTGGGCTTGTGTCAAGGAACTGCATTTTGTTCAAGGGTTTTAAACCTTTAGGACTAAAACCCAGTGCACCCACCCTGCCATAACCATTCTGAGAAAGCAGCCAGAATTTGTCTTTCTCCATCGTGGTCATCTGTGAAATTCGTGCATATGGTATTTCCAGCTCCAGAATCTTCTAGAAAGCTCTTTCATTTCAAAATGGCGGTAGTCCCACCCACTCTCCCCATAGAGTACATATATCCAGTGGGAGGGGCTACTGGTGGACGAATGGTTTGAGTCAAGGCAAGAGAAGACAGTAAATCGAAGCACAGTCCAGGTCAGGGATGGAGAATTTAACAGTTCGAATAGTAGTCCGAATCAAAACCAGTAGTTTTAACCTAAACAAAGAAGACCGAGATTCCTTAACTGCCACACAAGCAGTGGTTAAAAGGAACTGAGGCAGTAGCCCCACCACCACTGGCTATGTATATTCTATGGGGAGAGTGGGTGGGGCTACCTCCATTTTGAAATGAAAGAGCTTTCTAGACAATTCCAAATCTGTCTGTGCAGGGGAAGGAAATGCCATACGTGTGTCACAGTTGACCACAATGGAGAAAACAAAAAGCTCAGAGTAGTTTGTATTGCTTATTATAAGCCACCTTAGTACTCTTCCCAAATGGAGAAAAGCAAGTGGTGGAAAGAAAGATTACAATACGAAGCTGGTTTGAGAGAAGGCTCTCAACAATTTGATCCCAGTGATAGGTCTGTAGAGTATCTGGGCGAGGACTGAGGAATGGAAAGCGAAGGCTGGGGTCTGAGCCTGGAATTGCAGTTCTCCTGCCAAAGCAGCCTATTGCAGGGGTGCACCGTCCACCCAGTTGTGTACCTCCTCGTTATAGCCGTCTGCATCCGACCTGACCAGGATCTTCCCCACACTGGGGATCTCCACTTCAGAGAGCTGGGAGCTGGGAGGAGTAGGAGGCTCCCCCTCAGACACCTCCTGCTCTTCCTCTGCCTGAACAGGAAGGCTAGCTTCTTCTGGGACCGCTTTGGCTGGCTCTGCCTCCGTGGACTGTGGCAGCAGAGAGAGGAGGAAGCGAGAGAAAGAAACCAAGGATAAGGAGAGGAGACGAGAGGAAGGACAGGTTGCAGCTTAAGCGAGTGAAAGTTCAAGAGCATGCCCAAACCAATGATCTTCTCACCTGGTTGTATGCTGCCTCTACGCCACCCTTGTTGAAGGCATCAGCCGCCTTGTCAATGGCTAGAGCTGTCTGCGCCTTGGCAATGGTGGCATGCTGAGAGGAGAGCGAGCGCGCCCTGCTGTCAGGGGAACTGGAGTCTTCTGGAGAAAGAAATCTAACTAATAATAATATATAATATTATATAATAACAATAATAGTAATAGTAATAGCAATAATAATAATAATAATAATAATAATAATAATAATAACAACAACAACAACAATAATAATTCTTGCAGCCCAGGAGCAAGCCATCAGAAAAATGCTTGCTCCAGGATTGAAAAATCAGCTGATGGCCCAAAATGCAGACTGTGCAAGGAAGCTGATGAAACTATGGATCATCTCCTCAGCTGCTGCAAGAAAATCCCACAGACGGACTGCAAACAGAGGCACAACTCTGTGGCTTAAATGATTATTGGAACTTATGTCACAAGTACCCCCTAACGGTAGTAAAGAACTGGTGGGATCATAAACCTGCAAAGGGAGCGGAAAATGAACATGCAAAAATACTGTGGGACTTTCGAATCCAGACTGACAGAGTTTTGGAACACAATACACCAGACATCACAATTGTGGAAAAGAAAAAAGTTTGGATGATTGATGTCGCCATACCAGGTGACAGTCGCACTAAGGACAAACAACAGGAAAAACTCAGCCGTTATCAGGACCTCAAAACTGAACTGCAAAGGCTCTGGCATAAACCAGTACAGGTGGTCCCAGTGGTCATGGGCACGCTGGGTGCCGTGCCAAAAGAGCTCAGCCAGCAATCAACATTGACAAAATCACGATCTGTCAACTGCAAAAGGCCACCTGACTTGGATCTGCACGCATTATTCCAAAATACATCACACAGTCCTAGACGCTTGGGAAGTGTTCAAACTTGTGATTCTGTGATACGAAATCCAACATAGAGATCTCGTTTGTTGTGACATACTGTGCTTTTGTGTCAGTAAAATAACAATAATAATACTTTATTTTTAACCCGCCCTATCTCCCTTGGGAGACTCAGGGCAGTTTCCAATAAAAGAGGCAAACATTAAATGCCAATGATACAAAACACAGATAAACTCAAAAACAATGACAGTATAAAACTTTGATCCCTAAAAGAATGAAGTTTATCAACACTGATGGCTTAAATAAACAAAATATGATACATCACAAACCTTTACTGTGTAACCAATATATTTATTCATTTATTTACGATATTTATATGCCACCCTTCTCACCCTGAAGGGGACTCAAAGCGGCTTACAAGTAATATGTAAATATAATATATTATACTAGCTGTACCCACCACGCATTGCTGTGGACAACCTTCCCTCTTTCCCTCCTTCCTTCACTCCCTTTGCTTCCTTCCTTCCTGTCTTTCCTTTTCTTCTTCCTTCCTTCTCTCTTTCCTTCTTTCCTTTGCTCCCTCTTTCCTTCCTTCTTTCTCTTTTTTCTTTCCTTCTCTCCTCCTTCTTTCTCTAACTTTCCTTCTTTCTCCCTTTTTCTTTCCCTCCCTCTTTCTCTCCTTTCTTCCTTCTCTACTTCTTTCCTTCCTTCCTTCTCTCTTTGCTTCCATGCTTTCTTCTCCCTTTCCTTGTTTCTTTCCCTCCCTCTCTCTTTCTTTCTTCTTTCTTTTTTCCCCTTCCCTCCCTCTTTCTTCCCTTTTTTCTGTATTGTCATTTGATGCACTCTGAAAAAATGTGCAACTTCTGTTTTAGCCTTGACACATTGTACCTGGGGAGATGCTGCCTGAATTGGCTCCTCTCACCTTGTGCTGAGTCAGAAGACAGGTACTGAGACTCCACTGACGATGATGACTGGTCGATCTGGGCCATTTTGGAGGCCTGCTCCTCCCACTCGGCCACCTCCTGCTCCAGCTGCCAGTTGTCTGCCTGGATGTGCTGCTGCAGCGCTAAGGGCAGGGCCTCCACTTCCCCCTGGGCCTGCCCATCCTCAGAGTCTGCCAAGGAAAGGAAAAGGAATACTGTTTGCTCACTTGTGTCCTATCTCCAAGCCCTTTTTAGGCTGACTCTATGGAGAAGGCATGGTCCGCCCTCCCGATGTTTTGGACTTCCACAATTCCTAACAGCCAGTAGGACTGAACGTCGCCCATGCCTGCTATGGAGCCAATTATTAGATTTCTTTCCCACCATTATCTTTGGCTCCTCACATTCTGGGCAACCCTTAGTCATTGGCTGTTAGATCTATTTGGATTCACAAGTCACCAAGTCAAGGTTGGTATACACCTCTATTTATTTATTTATTTACAGCTTTTTAATATTCCGCTCTTCTCACCCCGCAGGGGACTCAGGGCAGATTACAGTGTACACATATATGGCAAACATTCAATGCCAATTTTTGACATACAAATATATACAGACATACACAGAGGCTATTTAACTTTTTTTTTCTGGCCGCCAGGGGAGCTGTCGCTTTCATCGTCCATCTGCGATGCTGATGAAGCACTTCCCGCATTCCCCGCATGCTTCCCCGCTGGAATGCTTTGCTGGAGGCTTCTTTATGGCCTCATAAATCAGTTAATTTAGCCTCCCCACACTTTAAGGTGGTACCTTATTTTCCTACTTGACAGATGCAACTGTCTTTCGGGTTGCAAAGGTCGACAACAGGCTACACACAATTGTTTGGAAACCCACTCCAACCCGGGCTGGCTTTGAACTCATGACCTTTTTGGTCAGAGTGATCTTAATGCAGCTGACACTCAGCCATCTGCGCCACAGTCCCGGCGCTCTATGTGCAAACACACTGTATCCTACTCAAAGGATAAACCTCATAGAAAGACAAAGTTGCATCTCCATCTTCAAAATCCTTCTCTATGAAAGAGAACTTCCAACCCACTAACTCCCACTTTGTAAGCTGTTGTTACAAATTTGTATATATATTCCCATTCAATTCCCCAAGATTCACCTGACTTTTTTTCTCCCCCCTTAAGATGATTTCTCCATCTTTTGATCCAGAAGGATGTCTGAAAGAATTTCCATAAGTTATGGAGTGTTTGCTTCCACCCAAGTCAAAATCAAAGCAATAGCTGCCTTCCTGTGCAACAGTGGGATTCTGCCTCGGAGTCCAATGGAGCCTCCTTTTTTGAAGGCTTTTAAACAGAGGCCAGATGGCCATCTGCCAGGGGTTCTTTGATTGTACTTTTCCTGCATGGCAGAAGGGGGTTGGACTGGATGGCCCTTTGGGGTCTCTTCCAACTCTAGAATGCAACAACGTCTCTACTTAGACGTCTCAGTTAGTTTTATTGGAATTTAACATGGGGAAAAGTCAGTGTTGGAGGGTCCTGGAAGAGGACCACTAGTTCAAATGGCCTAACTTAGTCCATTTCTATGTAGTCTGGGGAGGAAAAAGCTCATCTGCGGAGCAAGTGGTTTCTGCAGAATGAGAAATTGGACTCCATGTGACGGCAGGATGAGCAATCCAATAGAGGAGTATTTCTCAACCTGTGAGTCAGGACCCCTACAGGGGGGTGTCAGCGGGGTTGCCAAAGACAATCAGAAAACACAGTATTTTCTGTAGGTCATGGGGGTTCTATGTGGGAAGTATGGTCCAATTTTATTGTTGGTGGTGTTCAGAATGCTCTTTCATTGTAGGTGAACTATAAATCCCAGTAACTACAACTCCCAAATGTCAAAGTCTATTTTCCCCAAACCCACCAGTGTTCATATTTGGGCATATTGAGTATTTGTGCCAAGTTTGGTCCAGATCCATCATTGTTTCAGTCCACAGTGCTTTCTAGAGGTAAGTGAACTACAACTCCAAAACACAAGGTCAATGCCCACCAAACCGTTCCAGTATTTTTCTTTGGTCATGGGAGTTTTGTGTGCCAAGTTTGGTCCAATTCCATCATTGGTGGAGTGCAGAATGTGCTTTGATTGCAGGTGAACTATAAATCCCAGCAACTGCAACTCCCAAATGTTAAGGTCTATTTTCCCCAAACTCCACAAGTGTTCACATGGGGGCATATTGAGTACCCATGCCAAGTTTGGTCCAATTCCATCATTGAGAGAGTTCAAAATGCTCTTTGATTGTAGGTAAACTATAAATCTCAGCAACTACAACTCCCAAATGACAAAATCAATTCTTCCTCCAATCCCACCAGCATTCAAATTTGGGCATATTGGGTAAGATAAGGTAAAAGTTTTCCCCTGACATTAAGTCCAGTTGTGTCCAACTCTGGGAGTTGGTGCTCAATTGCTAGGCCAAAGAGCCGGTGTTGTGCATAGACACGTCCAAGGTCATGTGGCTGGTATGACTGCATGGAGCACCGTTGTTGGGTATTTGTGCCAAATTTGGTCCAGTGAATGTAAATACGTCCTGCATTTCAGGTATTTATATTATGATTCATAACAGTAACACAATTAGGAAGTAGCAATAACAATAATTTTATGGTTGGGGGTCACCACAACATGAGGCGCTGTTGTATTAAGGGGTCGCGGCATTAGGAACACTGAGAACCACTGCAATAGAGAATCATAGCTGGAAGAGACTCACAAAAGGGCCATCCAGTCCAACCCTGTCATACAGGAAAAGCACAATCAAATAACTCCCAACAGATGGCCATCCGGCCTCTGTTTAAAAGCCTCCAATGGGCTCCAAGGCAGACAGTTCCACAGTTAAACAGCTCTCCTTACAGTTAGAAAGTTATTCCTTATATTCAGGTGGAATGTCATTTGAAGCCATTGCTCCCAGTCCATTTTCCCAACCGTTTTTAATAACCGGCCATGTTTGCCTTTCTCAGGTTCTTTGGCGGGCCTTACCGGCAGCGAAGTGCGGCAGCTTCTTGTTGATGTACATGAGGCAGTAGGCGCTGGTGTTCCTCTGGCCCCCGAAGGAGTCCCTCTCCAGCTCTTCCCAGGAGGACTCCGTCACGGAGACATCGTTGTACTTGAGCCAGCACTTCCGGGGCTGGTGGTAGATGTAGGCCCAGTAGTGGCCCGCGTTGGCCTGCCCTTCGTGGACCAAGACCGCGTGCAAGTGGTACGGGACCTGCAAAAGAGGCACACCGACTGCTTTAAGGTCTATTTCCAGCGAACGAAGCAAGACAGCTGCTCAAGGCAGATGCCGGCATGCATTCCCAGCTGTTGCGCCTCCTTAGAGATGCCCATTCACACAACTATGGCTTGGCCCAGAGATTCCTTTCCTCTCAAAGAAATGGGGATCCAAAGAGAGTGATCGTGACAATGCCCTCTCCAGCTTTGGGGAGTGCTACGCTGCCTGGAACCCATTGTGGAGCCAGCAAAGCAACATCACATCACACAAAACGGCACTGCAAATAGGATTCTGAAACTTTAGCCTTGTAAGAGGAGAAGCCAAGAGCCAGGTCCTGCAGAGTCTGAAACACACCCGCTATCTGGGATGTCACGCGTGAGAGGGAAATGGCAGCAACTCCTCCAAGCAGGACAGAGTGCGCGCTCTTCCTTTTGACAAAATGGACTGAGGAGGAGGGAGAAGAGTGGACCAGCAAGGAGGAGGGAGAAGAGTGGACCAACAAGGCCAATGTCCTCCTACCTGCTGCAGCCGAGGGTCGCAGTACATCTGGTCAACGGAGGCAGTCAGCAGCGCAATCGTGTTCTTCAGGTCTGTCAAAGCAATCCAACACTCAGGTTTGGGGCTACCCTTTCCTACCAACATCTACAAGGTGCTTATTTTACTTAAGACACTCATTCATAATAAATATGCTTCATATTGATTCAACAAGTACACGAGTGACAAAAGTATAACTCAGTACTTGGTCTCAGTTCTGTATTCATTTTGACAACTTACTTTCAGTAAAACAAGTTTTACTGATGGTGATGACAACAACAATAGTTACACATATTATTATTATTATTATTAGTAGTAGTAGTAGTAGTAGTAACACAAGATTAGTAGATAGCAAACAAGTTCACTACTCTGGCTGTTGTATTGGATCACATGTTGGACACTTCCCAAGTTCTATTATTATTATTGTTATTATTATATATTATTATTATGTTGTCAAAGGCTTTCATGGCCGGAATCACTGTGTTGCTGTGAGTTTTCCAGTCTGTCTGGCCATGTTCCGGAAGCAATGTGTGTGTTTAATATTTTTATATTGTTTTTATACTATTTTTATTATATTACGTATATTTATGCTTATATACCTGTGGAATAATGTCCAGGGTGGGAGAAAGAACTCTTGCCTGTTGGAGGCAAGTGTGAATGTTGCAATTGGCCACCTTGATTAGCACTGAATGGCCTGGCAGCCTCAAAGCCTGGCTGCTTCCTGCCTGGGGGAATCCTTTGTTGGGAGGCGTTAGCTGGCTCTGATTGTTTCATGTCAGGAATTCCTGTTGTTTGAGTGTTCCTCTTTAACTACTGTCCAGTATTTCTGTGTTCTCAAATAATAGGCTGTGTCCAAGGAGGAAGCAGTCAGGCTTTGAAGCTGCGATGCTGTTCAATGCTAATCAAGGTGGTCAATTGCAACCTTTACACCTGCCACCAGACAAGAGTTCTTTCTCCCACCCTGGACAGATGGTCCTCACTTGTCCTAGTTTCCAAAAGACTTCACAACCTCTGGGGATAGCTGCCATAGATGTGGGTGAAACGTCAGGCGAGAATGCTTCTGCAACATAGTTATACAGCCCGGAAAACTCACAGCAAACCTATTATTATTATTGTTGTTATTATTTTCAAATATTTGTACCCCACCCTTCTCTACCCTCAAGGGGGGACTCAGGGTGGCTTACAGCCGGCAACAATTTGATGCCCCCCATATACAACAGATAAAACAAGTTACATAATAAGTAAAACATTAAAATTAGATTAAAAACCATTTAAAATAGTGCAAATTGAATTAGTTGGCATGTCAAGTCCGAGTTCTATGATCAACAACTTAATCTGAAGCCTTTCCATAGTCCATTTTAATTAACTTTGAAGACTATTATTATTATTATTATTATTTCTTACCTGTCAGGGTTCAGAATAATTACATTTACATGTATTCTAACAGTGTTTGTTATCTTAGGACAAGCTCTGACCAGCCCTGTGCACAGCTGATGGAAACCAGTGGCTCTGCTCCCAAATTCATGAAGTAGATTTTAACTTGTATTTTAACACTGTGTATCTTGTTGTATATATTTTAGTAGTGTTTTGTCTCTTGTTCTAATGATGCTTTGAGTTGCAGGGAGAGGTGAGTAATGTATTTATTGTTGTTGAGCTAAAATCCCTATCTGTGCACTGACCGTTGATGTCTTGCTCGACCTCTCTTCTCCACCGCTGCAGGCAGGTCATCACCAGGTGGACTTCCTCCTCTGTAATCCCATGGGGAGCCGGGGACTCGGGCATCTCCACAGGCGGTGTGGATGACCTCAAGGGCCCATTGGGCTCCTCCGGAGGAACTGCGGCTTGGGAAGCAGAGGCATCCTCACTTTCCTCATTTGTTGCTACTGCCACCCTATGGAATGGACGAGACAGGGGACAGGTGCCTGGAGCTCCACAAATGGAAACCTAGAAAGCCCCACTTTAAATGCCTGGATAAACAAGCTGTAACCATCACAGCATCACCCAGATTTCAACCAAATCCCTACTCTGCTGTTGAGTACGCATGCCCAGTGTGGAACACCATGCTAAAACAGTGGATGTGGCTCTTAATGAGACATGCCGCATTATCACAGGGTGTCTGCGCCCTACACCACTGGAGAAATTACACTGTTTAGCCGGTATTGCACCACCTGACTTCCGCCGGGGAGTAGTAGCCAATAGTGAAAGGATCAAGGCAGTGACATCTCCAGCTTATCACTTGTTTGGGTATCAGCCAGCACGTCAATGATTTAAATCAAGAAATAGTTCTCTAAGATCTACAGAGATACTTGCTGGAACACCTCAGCAAGTGAGAGTCCAAAAGTGGCAGGCTCAACCCCAGAACCTCAATCAATGGCTGATACCAAATGAGAGACTCCCCCCTGGGCACACAGAAGAAGACTGGGCGACTTGGAAGGCACTGAACAGACTGCGTTCTGACACCACAAGATGCAGAGCCAACCTTAAGAAATGGGGCCACAAAGTAGAATCCACAACATGCGAGTGTGGAGAAGAGCAAACCACAGACCACCTACTGCAACGCAACCTGAGCCCTGCCACATGCACGAGGGAGGACCTTCTTGCGGCAACACCAGAGGCACTCCAAGTGGCCAGCTACTGCTCAAAGGACATTTAATAGAATACCAAGTCTGCAAACTTTGTGTTTTGTTTGTCTGTTTTTAATGCAATACAACTGTTTTTGTTCGCTCCTGACACGATAAATAATTATAAGTTGCTTACCTGTAACTGTAGTTTCCTGAGTAGAATCCTGTGAATACGCACATATGGTAACCCTGCGCCTGCGCAGTTCAGCGATCGGAACCTTTTGAAAAGTAAAATGACCGTTTAGACTCCCTCTGGCCACGCGCCCCCCTCCCTCATCCTATATATAGCCTGGGGCAGTGGCCGTTACTCAGTTCTCTTCCGCTAAAAAGCAGTAGAGCTGGCATGACTTTCAAGGGGAGGAGGGCGGGTGATGTGCGTATTCACAGGATTCTACTCAGGAAAATGATAGGTTGCTTACCTGTAACCGTAGTTTCCCTAGTGATGTGCTGTGAATACGCACTAATGGTACTTCTGCGCATGCGCAGCATCACTCGGACTCTTCAGTTAGAATTTAAAAAGAATCGGCAGTTGGCCCCGCGCACACTCCCCAGTACATTATAAATAGACCGCAGCCGGTCAACCGCCTCCAGATCTCTTCCGCCGCTAAAGCAGCCAGGAGGAGGCATGACAAATTGCGGGGAGGATGGGCGGGGCCGTGCGAATTCACAGCACATCACTAGGGAAACTACGGTTACAGGTAAGCAACCTATCATTTTCCCTACGTGAGTGTGCTGTGAATACGCACTAATGGTAAAAGACTAGCGAGCTACCCACCTTGGAAGGCGGGAGTCATGCCACCGCAGAAAAAAGCACTGCACGACCAAAAGCCGCGTCCTTCTTAGCCTTCAGATCCAGCTTATAGTGTGACACGAACGTCATCGGAGTAGACCATGTGGCAGCGCGACATATGGCATCCAAGGGTACACCCTTCCAAAACGCAGCTGTAGCAGACACTGCTCTCGTAGAGTGACCCCTCACACCAACAGGAAGCTCACGTCCCGAATTTTTGTAGGCCAACTTGATCACAGAAACTATCCATGATGATAGGCGTTGTGACGAAACAGGAAGACCGCAGGTATCTTTCCTATATTTAACAAATAGTCTTGGCGTTTTCCTTATATCTTTAGTCCTACTGAGATAAAAGGCCACCACCCTACGTACATCCAACAAGTGGAGACTACGTTCCATAGGAGAAGTAGGAGCCTGAAAAAAGGCTGGCAAAACAATGTCTTGGGACATGTGGAAGCAAGACGTCACCTTTGGAAGAAAGGTAATGTCCGTGCGGAGCACAACCTTATCTTTGTGAAACCGGAGGTAGGGCTCATCCGATCTAAGCGCGCAGATTTCACTAACACACCTGGCCAATGTTATTGCTACTAAAAAGGAGGTTTTCCAAGACAGATGCGAAATATCGCATGTGGCCATGGGCTCATATGGCGGGCCTTGAAGGGATGAAAGAACGACCTCCAGACTCCACGAGGGGATAATTGGAGTGACTGCTGGCTTAACATTACCAAACCCCTTTAGGAAAAGCTTAACCAAATATTCCGAAAAGAGGGAGGGCAGTCCCTCCTTCCTCCTATACCACGATATGGCCGCCAGGTAACATTTCAGGGAAGATAGCGCTAGCCCCGAGTCAGACAGTGAAACTAAAAAATCCAAAACCGCTGCAATTGGGGCATTTATTGGGTCTAGGTTCCTCCCTTTCATATACCGGGAATAACGGGCCCACTTATACACATATGAACACTGTGTAGACGGCTTTTGCGCTGCGTCTAGGATAGCCTTAACTGGGGCGGACAAGGACATAGAAGATCCTAACTGTCTGGAGCAATCCTCCAGGCAGTCAGTCTCAACATATGGGCATCCGGGTAAAGAACCTGCCCGTTCTGTGATGTCAGAAGATCTATTCTGTTTGGAAATCACCTGTATCTCCCCCTGGACATCTCGAGGAGAGTCGAGAACCATGGTTGGCGAGGCCACCATGGCGACACCAGAATACAGTCCCCGTTGTCTCTCCGAATCTTTGAGAGAACTTTCGGGAGTAGTGGAAACGGGGGAAACACATATAGAAACCCGGTGTTCCATTTGCGTAGAAATGCATCTCCTAGGCATCCCTTTTCCAGATCCGCCCTCCTGCGCGCGCAATAAAGGGAACACTTTGTGTTTTCCTGTGACGCAAATAGATCTATTGTTGGAAACCCCCAGATCCTGAAGATCGTATTGAGTTCCTTGCGATTGATGGACCACTCGTGATTGGATATGGGGGTTCTGCTTAAATTGTCCGCTAGTATGTTCTCCTCCCCTGGGAGGTGAACAGCCACTAGGTGAATATCTCTGGCTATGCACCACTCCCAGATGCGTATGGTTAGACTTGATAGGATTTGCGACCTTGTTCCCCCGTTTGTTTATATAATACATTGTCGTAGTATTGTCCGTCACCACCTGCACTACCCTGCCTATCAACGCCATCTCGAATGATTTTAGCGCCTTTTATACGGCGAATAGCTCCAGGACATTTATGTGGTACTCTGACTCCTCTGGAGTCCAAACACCTTGGGCAGTTAAACCCTCGAAATGTGCTCCCCAGCCCTTTAGGGAGGAATCCGTCGTAACAACAGCCGACGGATCGGGACTCTGAAAAGGCAAGCCCACAGTTACATTGTCTGGCTCCGTCCACCACAACAGAGCACGTCATACTTTCTTTGGAATACAAAACCGCGCATGGGGGTTGTCCAGACCAGGGCGAAATACGGACAGGAACCAATTCTGGATGGGCCTTAGACGTAGCCGGGCAAAAGGTGTGACGGCAGTCGTAGATGCCATGTGCCCCAATAAAATCTGGATTCTTTTTGCCGACACCTTCCTTGAACTTAAAGCACGCGCAACCAATGACTTGAGGGACGTAAATCGGTCCTCCGGCAGAAACGCCTTTTGTTGGACTGAATCCAGTACCGCTCCAATAAACTGGATCTTGCGAACAGGTAGTAGGTGTGATTTCTCCCTGTTTACCACGAGACCTAAAGACTGGAGAAGAGAGAGTATTAGGTCTATATGCACATGCAAACGTTCTCGCGATTCCGCCACCAAAAGCCAGTCGTCTATGTACGGGTAAACCGTAACGCCCCTAGTTCTAAGGTGAGCAGCAATCACCGCCATGCATTTAGTAAAAACTCTAGGGGCTGTAGTAAGGCCGAAAGGTAAGACATTAAATTTGTAGGCTTTGTCTCCAGCCATGAAGGCAAGATACTTCCTATGATGTTCAGCTATAGAAATATGGAAATATGCGTCCTTTAAGTCTATGGTTGCGAACCAAATATCTTTATTTAGAAGAGGAAGGATCACAGAGAGAGACACCATCCGAAATTTCTTTGCATCAATGTACATGTTCACTCCCCTCAAGTCTAAAATAGGACGCAAACCACCTCCTTTCTTGGTTACCAAAAAATAACGAGAAAAGAAACATTCAGTGAACATGGAACTGTCAACAGGGGAAATTGCTCCTTTTGCTAGGAGGGTTTCAACTTCTTCCAGTAATGCTGGAGACTCTGGAGTAACCTTTAAATATCCTAACGGGGGCAACGAAGTAAACTCTATAAAATAACCCTCCTCTACTATTTGGAGGACCCACCTATCTGTTGTAATCGCAGCCCATGCTTGGGCGAAAGGCCGAAGTCTATCTTTGAACCAAATATAACTAACAGGTTTAGATAAACCAAATAGACTATCCCAGGGGCAGCGGATATCAAAAACATAAGTTTCGTCAAAGACGACGTCTTGTACTACCAGCGGCCTTCGCCTTTGTTTGGTATGGTTGATACCTGGACTTTGCATTATAATTTTGCTTCCGGCCAAATTGGAATTTCGATGAATTATTCCGATTGCCCTGACTTGTATTATACCCACCAAAGGCCGCTCTATGATAAGTGGGTGGAGTTTGCTGCCAGCGAGGTTTGTGAAAGTTACCTGGCTGCCATCGGTATGGGTATTGGTAAGGATATTTGGCTGCTTGCATAACTTCCCGTGAGTGTTTAATCTTTTCATCCGTTGTTGGATCAAAAAGACCTTCCTCAGTCATCGGAAGGTCTTCCGCCAACAAACGGCTTTCTTCAGACAGCGTGGATGCACGAAGCAACGCGTGTCGTCGTATGGCCGTGGCAGAAGCAAAAAGCTTGCCCGATGTCTCAGCCATATGTTTGGCGAAGTCCTTCTGTAATCTAGAAAGAATAAGTGCCTCAGCCTGATATGCCCTAGGAAGACGTCGGTCTT